TAATATTTTTGACTACTTTTTAATTTTTTTTTTGTTTTTGTTTGTTTTTCTACTAACACAACACATACACCATTAACTTCTTTTATTGAAAAATCGTTATTTCGAAAGTAAAGTAAACCGTAAGGCTCAACCGCACGCTGCCAAGTTCGAAACTCAACTGTGACTTGGTCAACACGCTTCTCAGCAGACAAGTCAACTGTCTTACCTTTGGCGCGCTAGTGAGCAGAAAAGCGCCACTCGAAGGTAGTTTAGCAGCACACATACGCTCATACAGTTCAATTTCGATATAATTTCAATTATTAACAACAAGAAGAGCGATTGTATCTATCGTGCTCATAGAAAATTCGATCTAACTCAGCTTAAACGCCGTGCTGGAGCTAAAATTTATGATAGTGAGATAACAATGAGATGTATTTCTATCTTGCAGTAACCTCGGACTGGTTATATCTCCGTAACTTTTCTAGAATACGACGCTTCTCTCTCTCTCTCTCTCGTCTTATGCAGCAGTAAGTGAGTGCGAGTGTGCTCAGAAGCTTTAATCTGCTCGGAGGTATGGCTTTATTTATCATAAAGATACCGCACAAGTCAAGTGATTATTTATATATACATATGTATATACGAGTATATACAAAGTTCCCAGTGTGTGGAAAAGCAATAACAAATATGGTACGATTCAAAATAATATAGAATTTACTAAAAATATACGTTTATTGGAGAATAAAATCTGCAGAGATATAAATAAATAAATAATAAATAAACAATATTTTTTATACGGTATTACTGTCATTTTTTAATATCTTGAATATAAAATTTAAAATTTACTTCCCACACGAATTCCAGATTTCTCTCAAAATTCTCCAAAAAAGGCTTACCAAAGTAACTCATTTAATGACCTTTCTACTGCATGAGCTAATTATCACTTTGTTGTTGCTCTAATAGTTTCAACAATTAGCACCTAATAAACTTAAAAGTCTCAATAACGTAATTAGCATCTAATAAATGTAAAGAAATAACAATAAATGCACAAAGATGTTTTTTCCAACTGCTCTTCTAATTTGAAGGTCACCACTCCATACATAAATTAGATTTCTTTGTGACCCTTAACAACTTCTTTTTACACCAAACGTAAATATTTCGTAATATTTGCGCTGCAGTTAAATATTTCTGTTATCATGAATGCCGGTATTTCATTAGAGCTTTTACATACAAAGACTTTGCAAAGTTGACAAAGCTTTTGAGCGTTACTAACATTGAGAAAGCTTTGAACATCATTTTAAATTACACTGGTCTACAGCCAAATTATATTAACAGCTTTCGACTGTGAGAGGCAAACGAGCGAACTTTTATTGGATATTATGACACACGCTCGATTTAGCTAACGCTATTGTGGTGAATTTTGACCCTTGGGCCATTTATTGTATTTATTTGGGCTTGGAATTACTTCTTTTGGAATCAACTCAACCAGAAATTACCCAGCAACCAGGCAATGTGGCGTAAGTTAAAAGTGCTGAAATAAGTCACGAAATCACTTTTTGGACTTCACAAGGGAGCCGACCTTGGCAAACCACCTTATTCAGATGTAATAAGTCGTTTGCTCTTGGTTTGCTTTCCTATCTTCAGTCCAGCATGCCTTACATCTATCACGGCTGATGAAGCGAACACATGATAACTCAGCGGACTAGAGAAAAACTGAGGTCTCCCTCTTGATTTCATCACTAGTAAAGAAGACTAAGAGAAAGGTCAAGCCTTCAGTAATATTATAGATATGAATGTCGATAGCCATGGATCTGAACGAGAGCACAGGAGTAAGATTCTTTTTGCGACAGCTCCAATAGCCAAGATAGTTTCAAACGCAATGATTCTAATCGGTCTCCAAGTGGAGTTTGTAAGCGTTAATAAAGGTGGTAAATAGGTAATCACTGTAATGGGCAAGTATATTGTTCTACTATTGTGTACCAAACATCTCCAATACAAGCAATTTGTCCAGATTCAGGTTCTGATAAAAATCCTTCAAAAAATCATCGACAAGCTGGACTTTTGGTAATCTAAACAGGTTTTACAAATAAATATTATAACCGAAAATCACCAAAACCGAAGAATATATCATATAGCCACCTCCAACAAGTTCTACAGGCAAAAAATTAAAATTAATATTTAATAGTAAAATGAAATATGAAAGGTATAAATACTTGGACATAACCGATGGCAGCTCTTTTTCTTGTTTTTTTTTTTTCTCTTAATACTTCCGAAAGAAATGAGACGATTGCAGATTATATGACCACTAAGTCATAGGAGCACAGTTCGTGAAGAGTTTGATAGTTTTATACCCTAAAAAAATATGCTACGCTTTCATAGCAATAAATAGTAAAAAAAAAGCATTTTTGCGAGGAACTTATGACAATTTTTTATTTAATGTTTATTATTATTTTTTTCTGGTGTAACTGCTATGCTTTTATAATTTTGTATCATTCGGGCATCTATAATTTATATTAGGAATAACGAACTTAAAGTTGTATGTATGGTACAATTCACTGTCTTGTAAATTAGTTGTTTGATATTTTTTAGCTTTTATATTTCTTATTATTATTATTTTTTTTTCTGTCTTGGTTGTTATAATTGCTTTTTAGTTGGAAAAACTTGGTTTGGTCCAAAATAGGCTATTCATACAAGCATGATTGTTGTGTACAAGTGTGCAAAGGTACAGTGTGTGAATACCACTATCAATAAGATTACGAAATTTTTTCAAGTTTTCATTTAAAGGCCAGTTTTAACATAAATTTAGTGAATATTTCTTTAAACTCATAAGTTGGGGAGCTTTCATTTTACATTGGTTTGGTTAGAAAAATAATACAATTTGTGTTCTTTTTATATTCAGATTTCATTAAGTATAAACCAAAAGGAGCTTTTGATTATTTTTTCGATTTTAAATGATGTTATACTTATAGATTTGTATATCTATATATTTTCTGTTTGTGATATTAACTTTAAATTTTGATTATTTAATGTATTTTTGAAAAAAGTCTTTTACCTAATATGCAAAGGAAGTTTTTTAATATAAAATAAAATAGTTAAATTATATATCTTTTTTAAATTTTCGACTTTTTTATTTTTAAAATTTCTTTACTGCATTTCTGTTAAACAAAAACTTATTTTGTGTAGTTATAAGCTGTATTGAAAAATATTATTGAAAATTTTACTTTTTGCTAATGCCTCTGCATAGATATTGACTTAACTAACTAGTAGTTGCTTTTTTATTTGTGTTCTTTTGTTTGTTTAAAAGTTAACAGTAATTATACAATTACCTTTTGTTACACATACAAATATAAGAACAATAAAACTGTTTGTTGTTATACATTTTTCATTTCTATTATTTGTTTAGCTGCTAATATTGATATTTTTTTCTTTCTCTATAATGAAATTACAATGAATTTATTTATATTTTTCAATTTTTGATTGTAGAATGTCTCATTGGATGCTTTTAATGGTATTATGTTTTTGTCTTTTACGCTTTTTCATCTTTGTTAATTTTGCTTGTTTTATGCTGAACTTTTTGTTTTCTCTTTAATAATTTATGTTAAGAAAATATTTTTAATTACACGAAATAATTTAGGTGTACTAAAATTTAAATATTTTTTATTGTATTTTAAATATTAATTAATTAAGTACAAACCTAGATTTTAAAATAATTTTGCAAGGACATATTTTCTATGAAATTACTTTCAAAATCTGCTGGTAGCGATATTGAATATTTAATTGTAGAAGTAAGCCATAAAAAATTCCAGACTGTTGTTTCTTGTGTTTATAATCCTCACCGAACTAATGTTGTCAAACCTTTTTTTGATGTAATTTCTTTATATGTTGTTAAGTACAATTCAGTTATAGTATGTGGTGATTTTAATGTTAATCTTCTTGTCAACGACTCTTATACAAATAATTTACTTGACAATCTATCCAGTTGCTCTCTCTCTGTGGTCAACCGATCTCTTCCTACGCGGTTTGCAGTGAATTGCACTCCTAGTCTTCTTGACTACTTCATAATTCTTGACTTAACTACTGTATTAAAATTTGACCAATTAACTTTTATATCTGACCATGNAGGTAATATAATAATACCTTTTCATAGATCACAGCAATCATCAAGGCTGTTCTTTGTCAATGCTAGTCGATTATGGAACTCTCTTCCTGCTAATTTAAGGAGGAAATTAAACAGAAGCAATTTCAAGAACCACATATATATGCATTTTAAAGGCCAAATTTCAAACATAGACTGACCATTCAATAATTGTTTAAGTTTTTGTCATACTCAACTCATTATATATTATAATTATTTTTATTTTTATTATTATTTTTGTTAAGGTATCTGTAAAGTAATATTTACTTATTCTTCACACTATCTCTGTTGTACTAAAAAAGATATGGAAATCTTATTGTACTAATGCTTTGTTATTATTATTAAACCTATTAAAAAAAATTTAAAAATGTTAGTAAATTCAAAATTTTACAATTTTAGCACGAAATTGTAAGTAGGAATTTTTATTTATTAATAATTAAGTTTTGAATAAAATTTTAATTTGATTTTACTTGAATTTGAAGAAAATTTTAAGGTGAACATATTGTAGCCAAATTAAAAAAAAATTGTTGTTTATGTGAAATTCAACAGAATTTTTTTTTTTATTATTAATTTTGCAAAAAAGATTAAACTTTAGCGCGATATGCAGAAAAACTTTTAAAAATGACTTTTTTATAATAAAATTTTATTATAAAATTTAAAGAAATATAAATTTTTTAAATTAACAAAAATTACTTTGACTTTTTAAATATTTTCCACCAATACTTTTATGCATTTACGTGTACAGTTTTTCATAAAATTTTTCCCCAAAAAAAGTTAAAAATCATTATCGTCATATGTATAACTCTTGTATCTAACTACCTGCTTCCAAGCAAACAAAAAAAATTATATTCTTTTATTATTGATTTTGTAATTTTATTTGTTATAAATGTTCATTAGTTCCGTTGTTTTTTATTTACGCATATTTTTTTTAGCTACTAAACAAAGTTGTTGTTGTACTTTTAGTACACTAAATACTTGGCATACCTAAAACATATTTATTTATTATTTATTTTTCTTTTTTTTTGTTTTTCAATAACATATCAAAATCAATTTTCGTTTTATTTACCCTGTATAAACAAAATACATTTATTTGCTACAATCTTTGTAGCTCTGCCATAATTTACTTAATATTTAAAATATTATTATTTTTTCTGTATTTCGTTTTTTTTTCTTCTTTAACAAAAAAATTGAGATTATATACTTAATTAGTGTGCTAATAGGAATTAAATAGTGTCTATGTCTGTTATTAACAAATAATGAAAAATACTTGGAACATAAAAAAAACACAAACAGTTTGATTAACTTTGTTGTTTCCAACTAAGGTTAATTGAATTTTACTTAAAATTGCATGTGTATAACCGGAAAAATATTGCATTAAATTGCTGGCATTTTTTTAATTTTCAATTTATGTATTAAATAGTTTTATAATTTTTCAAAAAAAAAAAATTATATTAAAAAAATAAAAAAAAATCATATATGTATAAACTTTTATTGTTTGGGTTTATGTTGATATTTTTTCATCGAGTATTCGAGTTTTTTGTCGTAAAAAAAATAAAAAAAAATCGATTGCTTTCCAATTGAATATTTTATTGTTTTATGAATATCATAGGGTCTTTTATGAGTTAGTTGAATAAATTCAATTCTTTCTTTTATATTATATATTAATATTCAATTTTTTCAGTTGTAACTGACAATAAAAGATTTTTTTTAGCTTCACATATTAAACCGACATGACTAAACGACGTTCAAATCAAACATGCAATGCACAAAATACTTAGTTCATGCTTTAATTATGTATGTATATTTGTCTTCTTCTTTTGTAAATATTATATATTTTTATATTTATAAATTTTTTAATTGAATCTCCAATTTTTCATTAATATTTCTGTTTTTTTTTTCGATTTTTATGAAATCCATGCATTGACGCTGGCTGGCAGGCTAATTGGCTTAACTCAATACGTAAATATTCAAACATTCAAAATGTGTAATTTACCCTTTACTCAACAACGTTTCTCAATTTTTCGCTGCCAATTTTTGTTTTAATTTTTAATCTCCTTTTTTTTTTTCTTGAATTTACTTTTTAACTCTTCGCCCATTTTAATCGTATTTTAATACATAATAACAATAAATTACTTTTACCATAATAAGTACAATATCGTTTAATGTGTACATACATAAATATGTGTGTAGATACGCTTACGTTAGTAAGTTTGTTGAATACTTAATAATTGTAACGTGTTTCTTTTCTTTTCATTTTAAAATATTAATCAAAATTCCTTTGCATGCTTTGCTTAGGCCAAAACAATGCTGCACATGAGAAACATTATGCCCGCCGAGAGCAGCGCCGTTACCGGCACGGTCACAATCCAAGCGTAGGCGATATTTCTAAATAAGTGCCAATCGACAGCACCGACAGCAACACTTGCCGCAGCAGGAGCACTAGCAGAGCCTTCTGTAACACTAGCTCCACCGCCACCGCCACCCCCATTGGCTATGGCATTTGCACTTGTTGAGGAGGACACTGTCATTTTACCGCTCATTTCATTCAAATTTGCTGCTGTTGTTGGTGTAGTAGCAGTAGATGATGAGGTTATGGCACCAATCTCCGCTGAAGCCTCCTTTGACATTTGTTTTTTCATTTCCTTATTGTGTCCTTTGCCACTTACATGCCCAACAAATACCACAGAACCGACTTTGCAATGTGTCGTCGAAATGGGTAAGCCGATTTTACTTGCCAAAAGTACTGTGATAGCGGCGCCAACCTCGATGGTGAAGCCACTGGTGGAGTGATAAAAAATTAACTTTTATTATTCAATTTTTTGCTATTTAAATTAAATGTGCATTTAAAAATAAATAGCTATAGTATCAACTTACGTTGATGATGTGATTTTCGTCAAATCATTGCCGATTGTTTCGATGACCCGTCGTCCCCACAGCCATAAACCCACTGAGATACCAATACCTCCATAGATCAAAATATAAATAGGACTTTCGGCCTTCTGCATCACAGAACCTTCTTTATAAATCATATACAAAGCAATTAGAGGTCCAATAGCGTTGCTAAATGGAAGAGAGTACAGAATTACAGAATTTTTTATGAAAATTTAACAATGTTAAAATAAAAAAAAAGTATTTAAATTAAATATTTTATTATTACGTTTTGAAAACATTCTTGCACACAGTTTGTTCTAAGAAATATTTTTAGAAATGTCTTCATGCACTCACCTCACATCGTTACCACCATGCGCAAAACTGCCAAAAGTTGCGGTTAAAATTTGTAAAAACGAAAACAACATTGACACCTCCTCCGACTCCTCGCCATTGTGCGTTGCTGCATCATCCGTCTGCTTGAAATCGTGTATCAACTCTTTGCTCTCAATTAGCGGTACCTTACTGGAATTTGGCGAGAGCGTAGATGAAATCATCATCTCCAAGCTGCTGCCACTCTCAACAACTTTCAAATCCTTTTTGGCAGTCGTGCATGTTGGTGTATGATCTACAGTAGTTGTTGTTGCCTTTGTAACAATAATATCAGCTAATTGAGGCTTTATATCGCTGGTAAGCATCATAGCGGTTGTGGAGGGTGTTGCAGGCGCTGGTGTTAGAGCATTGGTGGTGGTACTGGTGTCCATGGCAGTTGATGTAATATTATTGTTGGCAGCGCAGCCATTTGTTTCCTTGCTATCGAGTTGCTGCTGCTGTTGTTGTGGTTGCTGGTATGCTGGAAGCTCGTGTGTATGTTCAGTTGTGCTATGTGTGAGGTGTAGAAGGTATCGTTTAAAGAAATATAAAATTAAAAAAAAAACTCATTTCTTACCTCTTCGCATCCAACAAGGGCGACTTCACGTCCGACTTGAAATACTCCTGCAGTTGACTACCGTTACCCCTGCCATTCGTTAACAACCCTCTCGCATTGTTATTCCTATTGCCATTCTGCAACAAACCATTGCCGTTGCCATTTTGATATTGCTCGTCAATGAAATTCAAACTCGTTATGGTCAAATCGGTATTATCCAAACTAGCTTTGCCCAGCAAATCTTCGGCTTTTTTAATAATTTCCGGATTAATTTTATAACCATCTGGTGTGTAACCGTTATTTGGCGTAGTCACATGACCATTTTTATTAAGACCATAAGGTGTGAGCTTGAATGTTTTCGGTGAATTATCGGTTAAGGAGACGAGTTCAGTGATTTCGGCAATTGCGGGCAATTGTTTGCCGTCGCTGACGAGTGAAAGTGGACGACGATTTTTCTTAGGACTACCGGACGGTGAGGATTCTGTGAAATTCAAAGTGGAATGCGTGTTTAGACTTATTTTTGTGCATATAAATTACTTCAACTCACCAACTGAGTCCTCGAAATTGAATTTAACGGGGTTTTGAGCACGTAATTGTTTGGCGATCTTGCGTTTTTGTATAGGTACAACAATAAGTTGGGTGAGAAGTGCAACCAATAAGCTGAGGGCAATACTCGAACAAATAGCAATCCAAGCGGGGATATTATCCATATACAGTACTGTGGAAATATAAAAGAAAAGGAGTTTTAGAAATGGAGAAAAATAAAGATAACGGAAAGGAAATGTTTGAGCATAAATTTTACATAAAATATATTGAGCTTTTAAGCGTACATTGAAATGATTTTCTAAACATTTTTAGCCGAAATGTAGGCAATAAAATTAGAAATTTCCAAATAATTACTTTTGAAAATATAACTTCTTTCTTTCTAATAAAGAACTCTCAGCTTAAAAGGTATATTATAATAAATAAAAATTAGAAAGAAAATCTAGCAATAAAAAAAAAAACTTTTATAAAAAAATACATAAAAACTATTTCAAAAAGATCGAAGGAAAAAAAAGTAATGTTCTACTCACATTTCGGACCATCCAGCACCACACTGATGACATTTATAAAAAATGTCACACCATAAAAAATTGGCAACGACCGAAATCCCGCTTTCAATGGATCGCTAGCGCGTAAAATAAATTTTCGTATAGCCATAAAGAGTAGAATACTAACTAAACCACTCATCACCGGCGATATAAACCACGAACCGACAATGGTAGCCAATGTAGACCATTTCAGACCCTGTGTACCGCGTGCGACTAATGAGAAGCCAATTGTTGAACCAACGATACTATGTGTACCCGAAATGGGTAGCTTGAGGAAAGTAGCTACCAGTAACCATATGGCGCTACTCGCTAACGCAGCGACACAGCCCAACATAAGTTCCTCTTCGGCGCCTTCGTAGAGACCAACCTCTAAAATACCTTTGCGCATAGTATCCGACACCTTGTAGCCTGGAGAGGTAAGAATGGAAGGTGGATCATGAATTTTTTACATTTTCAATAGGACTGAATATTTTTGTTTTTTTTTTTTTAATTTTTACGACACAAAAGCGATTTCATATTTTTTTTTATTTAAAAAGAAAATTCGCTCACCAATCAAAACTGCACCAGAAATTTCGCATATAGTAGCCAAAACACAAGCCTGTCGTATGGTCAACACACCGGAGCCAACACTCGTACCGAATGAATTTGCCACATCGTTTGCGCCAATGCCAAATGCCAACACGAAAGCAATTAGAAAGCCGAGCACGACCATCCACAACAAATCGGGTGATAAAGCATCCATGTTGTACGTTAGTTTGTATTTTTTTTTTTACTTCAATTAATTTGTTTTTGGATTAATTTGATTTTTATTTTATTTTATATGGTGTATTTAATTTAAAATAAATTTTTTTAATTTGAAAAATAACAAATAAAAATTTAAAGACATAAAAACACAAACCCAAAAATTAAATTGTTAACTTTAGAAAGAGCGAGTTGGCGTGAATTGTTGGGAAAATCTTGAAGCCGTTAAGTGAATGCGAAAGTTCAATTTTATATAAGTACTTAGAAAACGTTACAAATTCCTGATCACTTTTTAAATTTAAAAATTTTTTAGCGGTGAAAAATCGTAAGGCGTAAGCTTAGCTGTAATTGAATTGTTTTCTTCAAATGTATATTTATGTATTTTTATTTGAGTGAATATATATGTTGATGTATGTATGCAAATATATGTAGGTAAGTAAGTGTAGGCGTGTTTTTTAAATCTAACCAGTAGGTGGGTAGCGGTTTACAAAAGGACACAAACAGACAGACAGACAAGACAGACACAGGCTTCAGTTAGGCAAAAAGGTTTACGGTTTAGAGATTATGTGTGTGTGTGTGTGTTACAATAAACTTATAAAATGCTACGAAATAAAATATTCGAAAAATACACTAATAATATTTTTCAAATATTTAAACAGCCATATTTGCGCTTAAATTTCATGTTTGCAATTTTCATTACAAAAATGTGAAATTCGTAAGAGATACAATATGACGCCGTAAAGTGGCTTACGGTTAGTTTTTTTTATTTATATTTTTGCTTTACTAAGTAAATTGCCGCTGTGCAGCTCAGCTAGTTTAGGTATAAACTAGCCGCGCTTAGAAGTAGACTACACTTCGCGTACACACACGCACACCGAAGCGGAAATGAAAGTATAAAATAAGTAAACTCGCCGCCTTTTTGTACTGCTGCTTAAATTTTAATTGCAATTAAATTCCTGTTATTTAACGTTATTTTTCAAATTGTTTTAACTTCTCGGCTTTCTTTTTATGTTTTTATTTGCTTTTCTTTGGTTGGTAACGCAGTTTTTAGCTGTTTATTTTACGACTGTTGCTCTTTTTCTGTCGATTTGGTCTGCTATCTTTTCCGTTTCGTTTATTTTTCGGTGATTTTAAGAAAGTTTTGCGTTAATCCTTTATGTTTTTATGGATTTAACGCTTTTGGCTGTTGGTTTTGCTGTTGATTTTCTTAAAATTGCACGAAAACGAAAATTTCTTGTTATAAAGTTTTGGCGAGTGCGTTGACTGAAGTTTTAGCTGTTGTTGTTGCTGCTGCACTACTTGACTTTTTCAACTACAAACACACAAAAACAGGGAAAATTAACGATCGTTCAATGCGAAAATATTTCCAATTTTATGTAATTTTAAATTTTTTACCTGGCGTTTAGTACAGCATAATTGTTGATCCGTCAGAGAGAATAGTAACATGTCTGAAATGAGAAAGTAAAGAATTATATATAAAGTCAATTTACTATTATGTAGAGTGGAAAAATTTTCCGAAAATTGGGATTTATATAAGCACTGCTATAGAGGTAAAATTTACAAGAACCCGCATGTACTGCTCGTGGTTTTTTCAGTAAAAAAAACGTGACATTAACGTACTTTACTAGACGTACAATCTCCGAAGAGCTTTTCAGCGCATTAATCCGTTAATAACACCCAATTCAAACTCCGAAGGGTATTCATTCTCGAAAATCTCAGTTTGCTAGCTGCTTCTTTCCCAGTGCTCACCCAGAGCTTCTCCTTCAATTTGTGGTATTGCGTCTTGATGGTTTTCCAACAACTGGAGAGACCTACAGTTTATACTAAGCCGCTTACGAACGGCTTATGGTTTTTTCATGAGGAGCTTTATTTCATGTCATAAATACACTCGGAGGGGTTGACATTCCCTGCCGGGGGGCGACCGCAATCAGAAAATTTAGCTTAATATTTTATTTAAATTAATTTTCTATAACTCTCTGGATGTAAGTCCGGCACCAGGATATTAGATACTCAGCTGATTGTTACATCAAGTCTGCGAGAACTAGAAGGTCTCTCATATGGAAGGTAGGTCTACTTCTGTACTTCGGTTCAGCAATTTTTGGTAAGACTTTAGTGCCCATCAAAAGTAGCACACCAATATGAGGCAAGGGAGTAGTTGTTGCCCGAGTTTGCCCATATTCAATTCTACTTCTTACAAAACCTTGGCATTCTGTTTCCTATCAAATGGCACCTAAATCATATATTTGGGCCTACAATTTTTGTCACCCTCATTTTTTTCATTCAGTGCGTAACAAATATAACTTTAGTATGAATTACCTACTGAATCATCGCTAATTTCGTAATTTTCAAAAGCACCATTAAAAGTGAGGTGGACGTGAACTTTGTTCGATTTCAGTCGTTTGTCTCTGTACTTGTGAATCAAGTCTCATCAAAATACCTCAACCCTTTCTAGAGTTATCGTACACACGGGCGGACAGATAAGTAGATTGACGAATACCTGGCCAGATGGGCATTACGACATCTCGTCACTTCCTTGGTATATACTTATGTGTCCACATAATTTCCGTTGACCTCAGGCCGCTTTTAGTGTTTACTGTTTTTGCCGAACAGCCTTTTTTTGCATGATATTTTGGATTTGCGTAAGTCTTCATAGAAAAGAGCGCTTTGAACGTGTTTTTATGGTTTAAACCTCTTTCTAGATTTTAGCACCTTTAACAGGTGGTTTCACGGCCATTAAGATGCCTAGACATTTCATTCTTCAGCCGAGTTTTAATACTCATTCATGAACTTCTCAACCAGTTCATCAGCTACCACCTTATCTTCGATGCCCATGTGATCTGGTTCCCAGTAAATATGAATCCGTCTTTTGTCGATACCTTACTAATATTACTGTATTATCTCTAATTAACCAGAGTAAACAGAAGTCCCCACTCTGTCTGTTACCATTGTAGCATTGGTAAAAATATGCAGAGCTTTGTCTTCAAACCTTTGCTCCAGGTAATCGTCTCTATTTTAGCAGGCAGTAGCTTCCCGAAAGCTACGTAATCTATTCGTTTATTTAATAATAATTACTGCTAATGTGCTCATTTATCCTCAATTTCTGCAGCCTCTTGACAATATAGAATGCCCGGTTTTTACCTACTAGGTTTGCCGGTGGAATGCTCAAAATTGCTTAAAGCTCCGATGGTTTTGCGCGTACTCAAAAAAAGTTCGTTTACGAATGAATGTTGGAAATATAATTCGATTATAATTTGTACTTTTTCTACGTCCACGTACCTCTTAGTCGTAATCCTTACTGACCTAATCATACAATCCACACCTTCAATTTGGTTTTAGCACATCCGGTTGTTGGAAACTCATTCCTTTTCAATTCCAAAAATAACTCACGTGAACTCACATTCGCTGCTTAGTACACAGCTTAGCAATAAATTGTCACAAACAACTTTTCAGTGCCGCCACCGAACCCCTATTAAAAATGTACGCTTGCTTATGCTCAAGTATCTATGACAAGCTTGTCTTCTCCCTCAACAAACTTTTACCTTATTACTTACTCTAAGCCACCACAGAAAACAACAATAACCAACTATAGTCCTTGTAAGAGTTTAGCAAGTATTTTTTAATAGCATTTATAAATGTCACCGCGAGCAAACTACAATACTATGTCAGGACAAAGTTGTACAAAAATCAGGTTCGGATGGAGGAAAAGTGAAATTTTACACGACTACACGCTCGGCGAACTTGTACGCAATTAAATTATCACAAGTTGACTGTAACTGGAGCAGTAAAAATTTTCAACAATTAAGATGTCAAGCGGTAAGTCGCAAAAAAATATATACTAGATATAAGGTGGGTGGCGTTTATAAAGTAAGGTGGGAAGTGCATTTTTATAAACGCGTAATGAAGCCTCTCTTTTTTTGAAAATATTTTTGTGTATTGGTAAAAGTATTCAGCATAAAAACCCTAACACCATTAGCATTGTAGTAAGTTGTAAAAAAAAAAACTTTATCCAACAACAATGTTGGGAATTGTAAATAAAATATTTTTATTTCAATTGCAATCCCATTACGAACTTCATATAATTCAATCACTAATTTAATTGCTTTTAATTAGCAAAGGAAATAAGAGAAAAACTAAAACCAAACAGCTACATATACATATATGTAGCTGAGTAAACAGTAAGCCCGTGCCGACATGGCAGTTATGTTTGTAATTACCGGATATTGAGCAATTTGACGCTTTTGTTAGCAATAAGATAACCATCAGCCAAATTTGCATGCGAAAAATCGCATAAATTGATATGTATGGTATATGTATACGTGTATGTATAGTATGTATATGTATAGTTATATTAAAAAATGAGGCAGGCATGCATACTCGTAGGTAGAAAGCAGCTTCCAGCTTTGGCTGGCTATAAACCGGCTAAAACTAAACATTTCCAATGTCTCTTTCTTTGGCATACATATATAAATATATATGTGTGTGTACATATAATTTCCTATTCATTCAGCGAATTTCCACACTTTTCATTTTTTTGCATTGAATTTGTATGTCATTACTACAATCTTCAATTGTTTATTAAAGGAAAATCGTCGCCGTCGCATGAAAACAAAAAACCCAACAGGAAAAAATATGAACTTTTGAAACACATTTCCATCGTCGCATAACAATCCAATACCCATAATTAATAATGTGAACTTATGAAACATATTTCAATCACCAAGGGGGTATTCTATGCTTAAAGCGATAATAACGCCAGTTGTTGTTGTAGTGGAGGTTGTGGAGTGTAGATTGGCTATAACAACAATTTCGGTGTAAGTAAAGCTAAGGCACATTTGATATCAGATCCAGAGTATAGTTCTTAGCACAGCTCGTAAAAAAGGAATTTTTGAGGGAGCATGTTAGTTTTTGACAGTGAAAAAACGAAGAATATTGGATATATATCCTAACCAGACACTAAAGCAGTGGAACGAACTTCAATGTACAAAAAGTGGAGAGACCACGCCACTTTGTGAAACCCTATGTATAATTTTAAAGAGCTTGAAGGTATGACCGCGAAATTTTACTATTTATCGATAACTCAGATAAATCATGATACTTCATGAACTCAGGCAAGCCCAGTGCTTTCAACACATTTAGCGCACAGCTCCAAATGAAAACTCAGCCAAATCTCCAATACGATATATATAACACCGTCCGACACAAATCAACTTTTTTTATGACCCACGAAAAAATCAACATTTCGGAAAGTAGGGCTAAAAAAATAACGATTTTTAAAAGAGATCTCATCCGCCTTAAAAACCATAAAAGACTTGATCTAGCAAAACGGCCAGACACGGGTATTTTTTTCAGCCCTAGTCTCCGAAAATGTTTGATTTTTTCCTAGGACAAAAAACGTGTCAGACATTGTAATATATATTAATAGCGGTTTGTAACCACTGCAGCGATTTCCAGCCAAGTTCTTCTTCCAACTTTTGATGTACATCGTCGAACCCTGGCCAAAAGTAGAAAACAGGAAATAAATTTTGTTCTGAGTCCAATAAAACAAGCAGCTAATTGAATGGAATGGGGTACAGTGAAATTGGGTGAAGATACGATGACTAGACTGTTTTGAGAGAGTTCAAAGCTAAAAATAACTCTGGCAAATTAGTTGTTCTAACCTTTTAGTGAAAATACTCTACTCTTTTCAACTCAATTTTATTAGAATTTAACCCACGCAGCTGTTAATCGGTGACATAGGTGTATATGTGCATACAATACATATACGAGTATGTATGCTCTCAATGGGAAAATAAAAACTGTTGTTGTAATTTTTCCACTATTTCCAAAAAATATATGGACTGAGGCAATTCCATAAAACTAAAAAACCTAAAGACACCAACACATCAATACATTCCACATAATTGCAAAAATATTCTATCGCAATCCCATGGAAAAATATCCTTTAAGGTCATTGAACTTTTATTTGCATTTATATCAGCATGACGGTGACATTGATCTAATTTTATATATTCGCAATAGTTTCTATGTGTCTTAAGGAGTGGTAAAAGTCATTAGATTAAAAAGTCGCGGTTTTTATTGAACGCTGCGACAGTAAATCTAAACGCAATCAATATTTATGTTTAGTCGATGTGGTAAAGGGTTGTGCGCATATGAGTACAGTGGCGAGCAAAATCGTATGAATGTTCGGCACTTTTACACCTACAAAAGGTTAACTCAAATGCCGCTAAACTTGAAAATTTATTTCTTTAATAATTTTACTTTAAAACTCTAATAGCTTATTTCAGATGAGCCACCAATTTGTAGTATGCGTCTTCAGGTTTTCCCAAACAAATGGAGATTCCTGCAGTCCATTCTAAAACACATCCGAATGGATGATTGTTTTTTTTTATGAAGAGCCTTGATTTCATGCCAGAAATAGACTCGCAGGGGCTTAGCATTCACTGCCGAA